AATACAATACAAAATATAATCCGAATATAAGCATCTTGAAACCCAAAATATGAGTCAAACAAGAAAGTGAGTGAGTAATATTTCGATTTTATTACAAAATCATCATCAGACTAACTAAAGTTACAATATACACATGGTCTTATATACAAGTTGGCAAGGCATGATGACAGCTTAACGGAAGTCTCGATCAGAACCACGACAGTTGCAGTGAGATGTTAAGTGTGATGAAATGTGAGTGTATAGATTAAGAAAAAAGCTTGTGTTCTTTGCTGGCTTTGAGTCCAGTGTTTAAACTGGGTGAATGATACTTGATATATAGAGCATCAAGCAACAAGAGTAAGTTAGGTGTGCGAGAATAAATAGTGTGAAGAATTCGAGAGTTGTCAAATATTAAGTTGGAAATAAAAGTGGAAACGTTATTGTCAGCGTCAGTTGGGTTGTTAAGTTTGTCAAAAACAAAGTGTAGGTTTACAATGTATTGCACATGTTCGCAGTTGTAAAAATGCTGTCCAATAGCACTTTTGGTCGGATTGGTATGTTCAGCGAGTCGCGTCTGTAAACGTCTTTCTGTTTTCCCAATATACGTTGCGGAACAGCCAGGACATGTCACCTCATAAACTACATTAGATTTCGAAAGATTCGGAATTTTGTCTTTGTTGGAAAGGAAATAAGAAAACTTTTTGTTGTCACAAACAACTATAAAATTTACAGGAACAGTTAGGCATCTTTGTATTTTCTTTATGCAACTTTTAACTAAAGTTTCACCTTGTTTACCAAGGTATGGAACGCGAACCCAAACCTTAGGCCTAGTGTCGTTTTCATCAAAAAAGTTAGTGCGAGGTCGATCCGCAGAAAATTTGTTTTTTAGTTTAGATATCAATAAATTCCTGATCGCACGAGGAAAGCCATTCCAAGACATAAACATTTTAAGCTTCCGAACTGGGTTATCAAATAGTTGACTGGTACTGCATAATTTTGATGCTCGGTGAAACAAAGATTTAACCCACGCAGTTTTACGTGAAAATGGTTCAAAACTAGAAAAATGCGTGTATTGTCCAGTGTGCGTACTTTTGTAGTAAACATCAGTGTTATCCGACGAAATCAAAATGTCCAAAAAATAAATTACATTACCCGGAAAGGTATCAACTGTAAATTGGAGATTTTTGTCAAAACTATTAAATTTGTCAAGAACAGCAGGAATATCCGAAGGTTTTATAAGCACTAGAGTATCATCAACGTATCTTCGGTAAAACCTTATGACACCAGATTTAATTAGATCCGAAACAATAAGTTTTTCAAATTCCGAAAGAATGATGTTAGCTAGCACAGGCCCCAGTGCAGACCCCATAGAAACGTTAGTCTGATGATGATTTTGTAATAAAATCGAAATATTACTCACTCACTTTCTTGTTTGACTCATATTTTGGGTTTCAAGATGCTTATCTTCGGATTATGTTTTGTATTATATTTGTATCATAAATAGACAGTGTAATACGTTCTCGATGAAACTGTCATACTGAAACATCATGTCAAACGGCAACATTGCTTAGGGGAGGGGATATATTTGGCTATTCGTGAATCTTCGTTTGGAATCATTGAATTCAATTATTCAAGTTGCCCGAACTTTGACAGAGAGTTTGAGCAAGAAACGAAGTAGGAAGACGAAGGCGTACTTGACAATTTTTGCCGTCTGCATATTATCCTGCGCATACTGAGTTGGACGTCACTGATGGTTGCTCAACGTGTCTTCCCATGTGTCGCTGTTTATGAATACTGACCATAATTCTTGCCCTGACCCAGAAAAGAAAACAGCGTCTTTGTCCTTCTAACGAAGTTCACAACGAATTTTGTCAAAATATTCGTTGTGAACTAAGGAAGAAGAACGAAGACGGGATATGGATTCATGTCTCTCTGTTTTGTCCTGATCAGGGTAAGGATTTGGGTCAGCATTCATTAACAGCTACACATAAATCTCTAATCTGTCTTCACCCCTGACTCAGAATGCGTCAACTCGATGTCGTCGTCGTCCGACTTCGTTCTCTTGCTCAAACTCTCTAATGTTTTTCAAGTTGCTCGAACATGTTTTGTCAATGATTGTAATTTGTAGGTAAGAGTGGGGAGAATTTAATTAATAATGACAATGTGATTATACAGTAGCTATGTCAAATTTAGACACGGACTGTAAATTATACAGTGTAGGGCGTATTTTAGACGTATACAGTAATAACATTTCTGGCTTTGCAGTTCATGATGGATTTTATATGTATAGTCAACGTATGTACGTTTCCCTGTTCTAGTTAAGTTTAATCTGTATTCTGTATTCTGTACCGTAATGATATAGCCTATATGTGTAGAGTTCAAAATGTCCCGCATGTTCGTTGCTCGGTTGTTACGGTTGGTATATGGCTTTTGTTCGTGAAAGCGGCTAGTTGTATATGGATTTGTTAATTTTGTTTGAAGTTCTTTGATTGGCGTCGGCTGACAATTAACCTCGTTTTTCCATTTTTGTTTTTAATTTTCGGCGAAAGCATTTACAAGATTTAGTGTATTTTTTCCCTTCCCAACGCCAGAGGAAGCAACGTTTACTGCACACATATGCGGTAAATTTCTTAGTATGAACTCCAAAATGACAATGAATTTCACTTTGATAAACTGAAAATCTGAAAGTTGATACTAATTGACAAAACGCGGTATGGTGCGATGAAAATAAAATTAATGCGAATTGAAATTGTCTCAGAGATATGTCACTCATAGTGTTACACAGCGGACCGAACCACACATATCCGTACATTCTTCTAGTAGAATATATTAATTATATTCGAAATATGCCCATTTGCTTGCAACCCTATAATCATTCTTGGCCGACTTTGTTACCTCTTGGCTAATAATTTTGAAATGATTGAGATTTGTTACTTTTGTTTCTACACAGGTCAGAACAGTTCAATCACTGCAAGCAATGTACAAGCCCGACAAAATAACAGCTCCAGTGTCAGTGCTTTCCATGAAATCACTGGAACAATATCCAAAACATCTACGGCATTATCAAGTGGGAAGACATCCTCTTCTCAGTCCGTGATGAGTACAACCAACCCTCCAAACAAAACCAATTTTAAATATAGCACGTCAGCATTACTTCAACCCACGTCATCTAAGCTTCCATCAACATCTTCTTACACAGTAAGAAATATACGTGCCGCATTTTCATCTTACTCTCACACTCCTACCAAAAGTTCAGAAATGTTTATATCCTCTACTTCCGTGGTAAGCTCTTTTGTTTTTACAACTTCTTCTAATTTTAGCTTTCCTACCACACTCACGTCTTCCACTTTTCATAAAGTCAGCAATTCGTCGTCAACTGATAGCTTAACTTCCTCTTCAAGACGCAGCAATTCTGTACCAGCTACATCTTCTATTAATTCATCTACAGCTGAGTTGTCTAATACTACATCACATTTTTCTCTTCCATCTGCAATGTTTTCCACATATCAAGGCGTTCATTCATCTTCAACTCATTTATTGTCTTCGCCAATGGAAGGCAATGTTACTCTAACTATTCATTCATCCACATTAATATCCTCTTCCCCTCCAAGGAGTTCTTCATTTTCTTCTTCAACGTTATTTCCAAGTACGCTCACTCTATTTTCTACAAGTATGGTTGTTACTAAAACAATTGGGAATACCACCATAACGCCGTCAAGTCGTGAATTATCTGCGGATCATTTAAGTTCTTTTACAAAGGAAATACCTTCCACTTCGTCTGTATCTGCAATGTTTTCTACATCTCAAGGCGTTCTTTCGTCTTCAACTAATTTATTATCTTCGCCAATGGAAGGCAATTCCAATCTAACTATTCATTCATCCACATTAATAGCCTCTCCCTCTCCAAGAAGTTCTTCTATGACCTTCGTTCGTCCAACGCCATCACAGAAACAGACCTTACCTACCAAATCAAGTGAAGCAAAGATCTCTTCGAGTACTATCACAAAAATGGCACCATCGAGTGCTGCCAATGTACTGAACTACATCTTCCTAACGTTCGATGGAAAACTGATCGTATCACCAAAGTCTTCATACAAAGCGGAAGACATTAACTTCAAGGAACTTGCGGGTTCTATTGAAAGTATTTTAGATAAGGCCTTACAGCAAGTCAATGAATACATTTATTCAAAAATTTTGATTATTAAACCGCGAGATGATGAATCGAAGTTTGTCTGTACGTTCAAAGTATTCTTAACAAAGCCAAGTTCAGAAACAGCTGCTACTCTGCAAGAGAAGATAAATAAATACAACGAGACTAATGGATTTGGCGAGTTCACATTACATTCGGTGGAAACAAGTGATGCCAGTAATCAGCCATGTACTGAAGAAAGGTTGTACATGTGGGCAATTATTGTCATTGCCGCATTAGGAGTCCTATGTTTGCTTTTTTTAGCGGCATTCATCTATGCGCAGGTATGTAGATTCGTGACTCTGCATCATTCAAGCGATTTTCATAATCATTCTAAGAAAAATTTGGAATTAAACAATTTTTTCTTACTGTTCTCACTTCTAACATATTAATTTAAGATAACTTCACAGATTACAACAAATTCTGATATGGGATTGGGATCTTTTAATCCTCCAAATACACTTTGTAGTATCTGTTCTAATTGAGAAAAGGTCATACTTTTCACTTTTAGTTTGAGCTCTGAACGAAAAACAGCCTAATAAACACAAATAAACGTATACCGATCTTCTGAATACAATTTTCCAAAATACAAATCATACTTGAAATAGTGAAGGGCGCCATTACCATACATGCATGTATAGTCTCGATCACATATGTTACAGTGCGTCTACAGTAAGTAGGGCCACTTAGAGAACACTAACCAATCGCATTGCAGAACAAAAAACAAATATAATCAAACTAAAGCTCGTTCAATCAAAAGAAAGCTCCAGGAAGCCATTAACTACAGTGCTTACTTTTCAAAATTCTTAGTTAAAATCCGTAAAAAAATCGCATAAAATCCTCTTGTAATTTGAAATATATGTCAAATAAAATAAAAATTCCCTAAAAACGATGCCAAAAGCCACTCTGGTGTTATAAATACTGCATATACACTTCATGTAACAACAGTTGATTATTTTATTTAACCTGAACCACCTGAACTTCAGGCCCTGACGGCTTACCCTACGATTTTTGATTGGGGTTATTAAAATAAAATTATTCTGTTTGTTGCTTTTTTCATTAAATAGTATACACAATGTTCCAATTACCACTTCTTTACTTATCAAGCTTCATAAACTTCAGAGAATATCGTTTTATTCTGTGCAAAAAATCCGAAAAGTCCGTAAAAAATTCCACAAAAGTTCGAAAGTCCAACAAAAATTATCCCCGGACTTTTGAAAGTACGAAAGTCCCATACACTTTTTTCGAGTGATTTGCCCCTCGCTCTTTTCCAGCTTCGTGTTAATCGCGCAAACAAAGAAAATGACACTAAACGTCATCTTCCACTATCTCGGCTTCGCCAGGCTTTCTTGCCATTCTACTTTTCTTACTTTTTCCTACTTTTTTTCAACTTTCCTACTTTTCCTAGTTTTTATTAAAAATTGTTTGATTTTCAGAATCATAATCAATAAATTAATGAAGATCTAGAGATTCCATTCATAGATGAACGAGTACAAAAAATATAGTGAGCACCAAAAATTCACACAACATCCCCAGCAGATATCTAATAGTCCACCCCTTACTCCATATATCCTAAGTGACCAATTTTGTATATTTTTGTGTTATTTGCATCTCAAAAACTCCTACTTTTCTACACATTTTCCTACTTTATTCATACTTTTCTTTAAATTCTAGTCCTACTTTTATCCTACTAGTTTTCTACACAAGGATGCCAGAAAGCTTGGCTTCACTCTTTTCATCCGAGTTGTCGCTCCAGGTGTATATAGAGCTCATTGCAATGGGCTCGTTGCATCATAACAATCATGACAATCAAGCATTCATTCACAATTAATTTTAGTGATCGGATTGTTGTACTGCTTTTTGTTTCTTTGAAAATCCATGACTGTTCTCCAATTTGAGTAGTATTTTGAGGTTATGCATGAGCAATAGACAATTCCCATCACAGACTAATTTTAGAACGAGCATACTAAAATTAGTTAAATTGCAAAGTTTGGTTACGAAATGATGTAAAATGCGGATAATATAGAGCCCTGCAAAGTTTGCAAATTTTGTATACTTCTGTATTACAAAAGTATACAAAATTTGGAACTTTGCAATGTTTCCTCATTTTACAACATTTCCCAACCAAACTTTGTAATTTTACTAATTTTAGTATGCTCTTTTCTAGCTGTAGTGATTTATTTGCTTGCCTAGTTTTAAAATTAGTCTATAATGGAAATTGTCTATTACCTTTTACATTTAGGTTACCCTCAATCAACAGAATAAGAAAATAATGTTCATTCTATTTTAATATTATACAGTGTACTGCAGTGTTAAAATCTCGAATGGTCGTTTCCAGTGTAGTTAGAGATGATAGCAGACAGCTATGGTGTGAAGAATATACAACTACATACCTAACAAATATAAGCAGAACTTCGGCGTTTCGAGAAAAGCCTTTTGTCGGGAAGTTATTAACTTCATGTTATATTAACTTCCTGACAAAGTGCCTTCAATCGAAACGTCGAGTTTCTGCTTATATACTCCGGGAAGTTGTAAATGCTGTGTAAAGGATTTGATATATCAATAAATAAGAATTGGCGGATGGAAGTTAATTTACTTGATCTTATATTTTCGATCAACTCAGTCTGCCCGCTCTGAAACCTACCAATCAGTTGTTAAAAAATATAGAAACGGTGATAAGATTACCAGATGAAAAAACTAAGGTTTCTCTTTTTGTACTTTAATTTGATATTTGTACATTTTTGTTTTTGATACGACTCGTTATTCTGAATTTGTAGAGAAAACTGAAAAAATCAAGAAAAGGAAATCATTCTTCACCCAACCATGCCAAAAACAGCGACAAAAGATATAGTGATTTCTTTCCGCCAGTGTTTGATGGTAATGCTGAATCTAAAAATGTTCCATTGCAATTAACAAGCGTATCATCCACTGAGTCTAAGAAACCGCTGAAATTTAGTGACACCGTTGACACTGATTCAGAGCAGGATGATGAAAATGGGAAAAAATCTGATAAAAGCTTCAGTGGGGAAGATGAAAAAGAGGACAATATGTTGGACGTTCAGGTACTATTACTTCAATTAAACTAAACTGACTTTACTTACATTCTTATATATGTTTTTTGTTATTTGAAAATTTTGAGCAAAAATTATTTAGAGATTTTAGAGCTGACCGGAAGCAACTAGGAAGCCTTCCCCAAGGGATTAAACCTGCGGCCTAGCGATTCCAGTGCGACGCTCTGACCACCGAGCTACCAAGTCTTGCTGCCAAGACTCAAACACAAGCTCGTGCATATACAGTACTGCATTCCATTAAGAGTTAACCACAAGATTGCTGTCGAGCGGTCTATGGTTGTAATTACATGCATTCATTATGGTCACCTAAGCATCGGATTAATAGGAATCCATCTGCCTGAAAAATACAAGGTTCTCTTCGACGTTTCGAGCGAAGGGAATTTGTCGGAATTAGTTGCATCTCTATCAATCCGAAGCTTTCTAATTATTGCAACATGAGCTCCACCTTTGAATTTACTTTGAGTTTTTCAAGTTTTTTTAAAAAAATAGTTTTTAAAAAAGTTTTAAAAAGTTTTAAAAGAGTTTTGAAAAGTAAGAAAAGTTTAAAAAGTTAGATTTTTAAAAAAGTTAAAAAAAATTAAAAAGTTAAAAAAAATGAGGGTTAGGGGTTAGTGATTAGGGGTTAGTGGTTAGGGTTGGGGTTAGGGTTAGTGTTAGGTGCCGCGAATTTATTATTATGATAAATTCAAAATTTGCCACGAATTTATTATAATGATAAATTCGGACGTGTTTAAGAATTTACTCATATAGTAAATTCAAAGGTGGAGCTCATGCTGAATTATTGGCACTATACTTATTCACTGGAACAGACAGTTCAAGATTATATCACAGGTCTAAAATATGTATATAACTAGGGTACCTGCAAGGTAGGGATTGCTGCGGGCATTAAAAGCAGATAGAACTACAGGAAACAGCACAAATTTTATCAAGCACATTGATTACTCGCAGCGACTAGTGAGTTGTGAATGGAACTGAGAAGAAGCAATATATATTGAAGTAGCAAAGACCAGGGGTTAATGTGCAATCAGAGGTAACAGATATTAAACATGTGCGTCTCATTGACATACAGGTAAATTAAGATCAGATTTCATATCAAGTCTGTTTACTGCTAGGCGCATTTACCACATTATATAGACTATATACACAGATTTATCACACTAAGAAACCAAAACTTTATAAAAATATAGAACTGACAGTGGCCAAAGTCCAAAACAAAGTCCAAAGCGTAACATTAGACTTGAAAAAGCTTTAGAAATTCCGTAAAACTGCGAAGACTCGAGCGAGTTTAAAATTTGTGTTCTGCGCATAGAAAGCGCGCACGACCACAATTCCATGCGCTAAATAAAATTTAGTTCAAAACCCCCTCTATGCATGCATATATTAGGCTGCTGCTACGCTCGCTCGTTTCAGGCTCGCTCGCTCCGCAGCAATTAAAAATTTTTGCTCGACATTTCCATTTAGTTCTATATCAAGCAAGATGACCCAAATCTCGAGTGCATTATTTACAGAATAAGCTAGACAAAGTCTATGCAGGGAAAACCTGCACTAAACATTTGTTATACTAGATGTTCTATCAGTTCTTAATACTGTAGTCTTCCTCGAGGTCCAGTAAGGGCGAGCCAGGTTTCCATATGGTCGTAATGGTCATAAAGATGGAGTCACGGTCTTTCTCAACGGTCAGATTATAATGGCTTTTACTAGTAAACCATAGTGTATTCAGAATACTTATGATTTATATATGGTTTACTAGTAAAAGCCATTATATAGAGAATCTCTATTTGTAGTCACTCTGCCTATTTCCAGTTTTGTATGCAATAATATTAATTTATTCTTAGAAGAATTTATCCTTAATTGTTATAGTTTTCAACCTTTTGGCCATGGGCGTACGGGAAGGAAAAAATTAGGGGGGTGGGGGCGGAAAGAAATTTGCCCGACCTTTTCGGATTGTGCCCGAGTTGTCAAAAAAAATTTTCCTGAGAAACTTTCCAAAATTGTTGTCGACGGGGGGGGGAGCAGTGATTACGAAAAATTCCTATTACACAGGAAACCCTAGCTGGGAAACTTTCTGAAGGCTCTGGAACCCAGGGTAATTACGTGGCATATTTCCCACAAAATTGACAGAATTTGTCCCATTTATTTTTATAATAAGCCAATATTGCCCGACTGTTAAGCGAATATTGCCCGACTGGCTTTGTTTGCCCAACAAACTAGGAGGCTGCCACCCCCCCCCCCCCCTCGCCCGGTACGCCCATGTTTTTGGCCAACGTCGTGTTATCAACATAATCCTCCTCATTTGTGAATATAGAAACTAATATTTTATGTAATGTTTCCTTAAATTTATTCTTTGGAAAATTACGTAAGTCACATGGAATGCTGTTCCATATTCTTGTACCAGTTCTGGAAAACTGGGAGCAATTCAGTTTATTAGTTAAACATGAATGTTTCACAGAAAATTTTGTATTATAGTCATGTATGTCGTGAGTATAATAAGTAAGGTTATTAATTGATATATGTAATAAAGTTATAATAAAGTTAACCGTAACGCTTTAGTTATATTGATAATACAACGTTATATTGATAATATAACACCCTAAGTTTAAGTAACGCCAAAATAGAGTTAAGGTTCTAATAACGTTTACCATTGTTTCACGGTAGTTATGTTGTACAACAATTACAAAATAGTATTAGTATTCCGTCCACGATAGAGTCATCCATGCACTTGGGATGTTGCTCGACTTTCGGAAGCGCCTCGTGTTGACGCTACTCTGGCTTTTGGTAAATACAAAGACTAATAATTGTTTATGATTTTCTCCACTATATCTAGGAACAATCTCAGTCTGGCAACGCTAAATTGCAAATTCAAGATACTGACGATGAAGACGATCAAACAAAATTCAGTACGTTTTCTCGGAAACGTTAAAGTATATAAGTATGAATGTATGATGATGAACTTGTGGACTATTATAACGCCTAGCTTTCAGTCCGGCATTAATGAGGCTTATTCCCCAGATCTGTTTTTAACATTGGTTCATTTGTCAACGTGAGTTAAACCATGTTGTATTAATTAAGTGGTGCTTTATAGTTAAAGGATGTAATAGTGTGTACATAGAAATTAAATTGCTGCGATCAGTTTATTTTGAAATTAGAGGGAAGTTATATTAAGGTTTTCACTTACAGCGTAGCTCGGACTCCATTAGCAGGAGTGGAGAAGTATCAATAAAACTACGAATATTACCAAGTACCATTAACAAGTAAAACCTCGCACGTTGCTGGCTACTTAAGGCCATGACACACGCGGCAATTTTTTCTGCAACTTGCAATGCAATTTCGGATTTATTTTGTAGCTATTTTGCAATAACAATAAATATCAGACGAAATCGATAAATTGGTGTAATATGTATACAATTTTATTAGAAAAATTAGAATATATAAAAAAATTCACACACATCAGGTTTTGGCAATACAGAATTAGCTTTAGAGTTTAGGGCCCGTTTTACACTATAACGCCACGGCTAACATTCCGTTAAAAATTTACAACGACACGTTTCTATAGTATTAAGGTTATATTGTATACACTATAACGGAGTGGTTTGCCGTAGTGTACTAACTACGGACCACTACATTTCCCGCTCTGAATACAAATCAATTTCGTTAAAAATTCACTACGTTTCTTAGTATTGTGTTTACACTAACGAAGTGGTTTGCCGTAGCATATTAAAACTACGGACCACTAGGTTTGGCACTTCGGATGCAAATAGAGACCTTACGATTTTAGGACGGCAATGCGACGGTAACGGCTACCAATACATAGATCATTGAAAAGAATTGAGTAATTACAATAGCCTATATGAATAATTTAGACATTGTTCTCGCTCTGTTTACAGCGCCAAATCACAAATTTTCACGTCTTGATACGACGGCTGCATTCCAAGCCACTGACAAGTGCAACTTCAAACTGGGCCGGTTTAGCAGAACTTTTCCCAACCATAAAACCCATGTCTTCAACTTCCAAAACTGCATTAAATTCATACGATTGGGATAATATACGACGAACTATCTTTATTACTATTTATTTGAAGGAGTTTGTTTTCAACTGGCCGTCGTCGTCGCGTTGCCGTCCTAAAATCATAAGGTCTCTAATCACTATTACGCGCCGTAGCGTCATAGACAGTGTAACCCGGCCTTGAAATCATGAAGAACTGTTAATAAAATTGTGAAGTAATTTAGAAGTGTTTTAATTTCTATAATAACTTCACCTTTAAATCTTTAAATGCTTTTAATTCCTGAAATATTTGGACTGAAAACAATGACGTGCATACCGGGCCCGCCATCAAAATGGTTTTCACCTTGTTAACTATTTATATATACTTCGTTAACTATTATATACAAAGTTACTATATTTGTGGTAATTGAGTAAGTCCAAGAATTTATCACACACTAATCCCTAGTGTAAAACGTGAATGGCTCACGTTCTGGATGATTCTACAAAACAACAGTTCTTAAAACCCAAGTTTCCATTTGTAGCTACTATAGTTAGATCACAATTCCTTCCCCCACCTTTCCAAGGATAATTATTTACTATATATAGATACATGGTAAGTTTGCGCATGACCAATTTGATGAATTCAAAATTCTGTAAATCCAGTATCGATCATGTATGGTATTTCTCAGAAATCTTACAAACTATCCACAATGAAAATGCAATACCGATGAGCTATATAAAAACATAAAGTAAAGAAAAGAAATTTAAATTAGAAAAAACTTCTCCTGGTTAGGTGTAATATACGTATAAAATTTACTCTCTAAATTTGCATCCACAAAACATTTCAACAATCAGTTCTATCTTGTGAGATTTCCCAAATCCTGCATGATTATTAAAGGGAATTGGAAATGTCAATATACATTTTTTTATTTTCTCTTTTGAAAGAACTTTTAAGACTATACATAATTCTGTTTTACCGGGGGTTTTCATATCTTGCTTACTTCTACAAATTTTTTGATCGATTCTATCTTCATTTTTTGTAGATATGCATGTCACATCACAACAGAGGACACGCAATATTTTTATCTAGAAAACCACTAATCATTTTGCACTCAAAATTATGCTCTCAGTCTGTCTGCCTTTCGAAATATCAAAATCGCTCAAAACCTTTAAAACATCTACCAACCAATATTTGGCCGTCAGCAACTAATACTTTTATATGGTTAATCCCTGTTGTGACGTCACCAAAACTACCGTTAATGAGATAAAAAATGTATCCAAGATGGCGGACATCTCATTACTTCAAGTGAAAAAAATATTTCAAGAACTATAAGCACGATATGAAAAATCTATAAAATAAGTTAATATATAGTTTCAAACGATCTTTCAAATGAGAATATAAAAAAATATATTGTTATTTCCCTTTAACTCTTAGTCTACACGCAGTGCCGCAGAGAGGTTGGCGGGGGCCCGGGGCAAAAATTTTTTGGCGGGGGGCCTTTTTGAAAAAAAATTATGGCAACGTTACCTCAACCAACGTTATAACTCCAGCAATCACTGCCAAAATTGCCAAATGATCACTTGCTTTCTCTTTTATGGCAGAATGACATCCCTGTTACGAGAAAAAGTATGGCGGTAACATTGAATACAAATCGAAAGTCTTTTAGGTCTATAAGTAGGCCTACACTGATTGACTGATGGAACTAGTCGACCAATCAATGAAGCAAAAACTTGGCCAAGGCCAGAACTAAAGGCTGATTTCCACTGTTGCGTTTTTCATACGCACGTACACGCACGTAAAACGTTGAATCCTTCTATTTTTTAAATATTTTACAAATAAGTCAACAAATGCATACTAAAACTTGCGGAACACTGAATTCTGCTGCTTTATTTATTTGGTTATTCCATAAGTAACATTTAAACGGATTTAAAGTTTTACTTGCGTATACGTACGTATGAAAAACGCAACAGTGGAAATCAGCCTTAAGTCTGAACCAGGAAAAAAGTTTCTCTTAATAGGCCGTTTGCTATGACCTCAGAAAGGTACCTAGAAAACTATTTTTCATTTCCCATGTCTTGGAACTGAAATATTTTACGGGAACCAACACTTTCGAACACGCTGAGTTCAAATCCGAAAAGTTCCCGATCCGCAGATACGCAGTTTTCTCACAAACTGCTAATCTTCACTAATTTCACGATTTTTCATTGTTAACGACACGGATAGATGACGACAAACGATTATGTCACTCAAAAGGACTAACTTCTATTAACCAGTCTTCCTTTTAACAAAAGACCGTTTTGCTTGAATCATTTTGAGTTATGTAAACTTATCTGTGTTGGACGTGAACAGCATATCTTGTCTACAACTTTGAGAATTGGAAGGTCTGACAGATAACGCTTTCTAAAATCCTCAGTTCTGGCTCTATTGTCTCTATTTCGCTGTATCTCTATAAAATCACAAGGACGTTAATGTTAAGTCTTTGGGTTATGTCTCTGGGCTGAGAAATTACTCCTTACATGCATGTATGTCAGTGATCAAAATGTATATGTTTTATACAACGATGTAAATCGGTAATTTTATGTGATGGGTTAGCATTTAAATTTTCAACACAGTTTCTGAGACGTAATTCAAGAGGTAACGTATCATTGCATTTCAGGAACTATTATCAGTTGGTGCATGTTATTCTGTGCGATTAGCGAATATTATTGGAAAGATGGCTTCCATGACGTTGAAATCACCAAATATAAACAGCTCATGCACACATTTCTCCACTTCGTCGTAAGTTTACAGAGCAAATTTTATACTTTGGCACTGAATATCTTTGTCTTTGATGTGAACATCATTTATTCTTCAAGTTTAGTATGGTTAATTAAGAGTGATCCTGCCTTAAGTCTTCTACCAGCAACTCATCGACAATATTTCATTTTAGCGTTGTCTTTGCCGTTTTGTTTTAAATACCATGATTGCGTTAACAGATCAATAGTTATTTTTCAGGCCAGTGACATAGCCAAAAACTTAGTGATTAATTAACGTCCTTTTGATTTTATAGAGATATCGCTAGAACTGGGGATTTTAGAAAGCGTTAATTATCTGTACCTTCTTGTAGACAAGATATGTTGTTTATGTCCAAAGATTGCATAACTCAAAATTATAACCGTTAATAGAAATTGGTCCTTTTGAGTGACATAAATAATCGTTTGTCTTCATCAATCCGTCTCGTTGAACAATGAAAAAAGTTGTCGTGAAATTATATTAGTGAATATAAAATAGAAGTTTTCGGATTTGAACTCAGCGTGTTCGAAAGTGTTAGTTCCCGTAAAATATTTCAGTTCCAAGACACGATATCAGGACACAGCACTGAACGGGTTTCATTCGTTTTCAGGGTGTCGCACACCCCTAACTCCCCTCCCCCAAACTGGATGTAAACACATAAGTAATCAATTACATTATCATAAGTGTTAGAGTCACAGGTTTTTGGACTGGTAACGTTGAATGGTCTGTTTCTAGCACGTGCATAGTCCTTTCCATCCAAAACGCCACAACATGATAACTAAGAAAGTAAATAATTACAAGTTCGTTAATTAAACATTCGTTAATATTGGCTGCATGTGCAATAGACCAATTCCAAATTACCGCTGTAGTTGTCAAGGAAATCACACAAAGACGAGACTTAGTGCTAATTTGGTGTACACAGGGGTTGTTTACCATTTACATGGAAAACCCATCCGGTTTGAAATTGTGCTAATGGTAAGCAAAATTTCGGATAGAAAATCCCATTCGGTTATATGCTTTCCATTTAATAATTTCAATTGTTAAATCGAGAAGAGCCTGGAACTGGTGAAAAAATAAAATATATGTAAATGGAAACATTTACCGGTTGAAACGTTCCAATCGGTAAGAAAGGACAACCTTTTCAAACGAACCGTTCATTCAGGAAACGTTCCGGTTGGGCCGCCGAAATATGCTTGTTCCATTTACTTTCCGCATGGAATCACCTGAATTTCCATGTAAATGGTAAACAACCAGGGTGTCTCAGAAAACCCAAAAGATGCGTAAAATATTGACAGGGTGCATGTATTATAAATATTGACTTTACGAAATTAAGATATGTATTTGTAAAGATTTTCTGCTCTTGGGAATTTAAAGCAGCTTCTTAAACAGTTCCTTTATGCATAAAAATTAATGAGGGAGGGAGGAGGCAAGTGGGAGCAACTGCCTTACTACAGAAAATTACGTACTAATTTTATAACTTACTAATTTTATAACAGTATTATGAATTATTAATTAAACCATTAAATAGCGCTTTTAATCTTGTGAATGAGAATGTTTGATTCTGTATGGGACAGCCATAAGCTAAGCACGCTCTAAAAACACGATCGATGGTTAAAAATTTCCTGGTTCATCCAAAATCAACCCTGTTATGGGTAATTAATATTCTTGGTTCAATATCCTGGTTAATTTAACCACAATCTTAATTTGATCACTATCGTGGCTAATTTAACCAGGATTTCTTGTTAATTTAACCAGGCTATATATGGTTGAATTAACCAGGTTATGTTTGGTGGACTATTAACCAAGAATGCCTGGTTAGGAATTCACCTACCATAATCTGGTTGCTGAAATTAACCAGGAATCCTGGATAAATTACCCAGGGCTATGATTAAATCAACCAGATATGTAATTGAATTAACCAGGAACATTAAGTTACCGCAAATTAAACAGGGTTGGTTTTAGATTACCCAGGGAATTTTCAACCGGGGTGTTTTTAGAGTTTTTTATACATTCAACTGATATGGCTTTGAATGCATTGACATTTAGATACTTATTTCAAGATACGGCGTACGGCCCTAATAGAGGCCTAAGGGGCTTGGCACATGAGTAAATCGTCAGTGGTTTTACATGCATATGTAGCTTTAAAATCTTAATTAAGTGGTTATTAGTGTTTATCGTTGGTATCATACAGCTTAAGATATATACCTCGATCTGTATTTTATCCCAAGAGTTTTTCATTTTTTCGTCAGCGTAATATTCCACCAGAGTGCCATTCATGCAATCCTTCAGTTCATCTTCCACCTTTTGATAAAGTAAAGAAAAAAATAATTTTACCTTATTGCTATTCTAACTGCACCAAGTAGAGTGGAAGACTTTTATAGTTACATAACTTACCGTGAATTGACTCTTATTATAATATTTCATTATGTTAAAATTACCTCCGCTTTGTAAACAACAGATAAAATACCAATGGTGACTTCCATCAAGAACAACGTGAACAAACAGCAGATGAACTGTAAAGATAGAGGAATATTTTTTAGATCTGCAAAACCTTGGAACAGTTTATACCTACCGAGATAAAGACGTGTTCAGATGTTTAGAACACGATTTAGTATATATAACAGCAATCAATAACAAACAAACTTCCTACCCGTAGCTAACATCGAGTTTCTGGCTGTTTACCATTTACATGGAATTTCCGGTGATTCCATACGGAAAGTAAATGGAACAAGCATATTTCGACTGCCCAACCGGAACTTTTCCGGAATGAACGATTTGTTCGAAAAGGTTGTCCTCTCTTACCGATTGGAACGTTTCAATCGTTAAATTTTGTTCCATTTACATCTTTTTTATTTTTTTCACCAGTTCCAGGCTCTTCCCGATTTAATTCAAACCGGATTTTCCATATAAATGGTAAACAACCCTTCAGTGCCTTCCTGTCAGTCATTCTAAATGAAAAGCGCATAATCCGAATGGGATTTTCTATCCGAAATTTTGCTTAGCATTAGCACAATTTCAAACCGATGGGTTTTCCATGTAAATGGTGAACAACCTCTGTGTCCTAAATGTTTGTAATGTGTATGTACTATACAGTACACATTTACTGTCGTAAAGTTATAGGGGATCTTCTCGGTTCGTGTATCAACAAACAAAAATGTACATTTTTCAGGGTTAAACCTACGATCAGGTCAGTATCAGGCCTTCGTTTGTTCTTACACCGAGAAAGTGCGTAAGGGATCCGGTATTAATTGCGACGAAAGTCCTGTTCCACATCCCAGTCATGCACGTACGTTGTTTTGTAACATGTTATGTCAACCTCGCAAGCCAGGTTCTCTAATTCCGCTTCCCTCCCAAACATGCTGGAGCGTGTTTGGGAGGGAATTAGCGGAAGTAGAGAGCCTGGCTTGCGAGGTTGATGTTATGAATGTCAGTGTCATTTGTGACGAATTTATTTGCGTTAGCAAATCGTACACTGACTGCATTTGCATTTGGTACATGTAGATCTTAAACCGGATCATTTTTCTGATTTATGCATGGGCTGTCCAAATTCAAGCGTTGAAAATTTCACGTTGAAAATGTAACACCCGAGTGTAGCAAAATTCTTAGTTTATAATAGGCACCACAGGAATCACCGAATCAGTGTGTAAAGTTGCATCTTATTCGTACAAGGCATGAGACATTAACAAGAACTGACACTCTCAGTGCTGATTTAGAATAGTAAAGCTCTGGAGCCAGATATCAGGGCCTTAGCGAGGGGGGGGTATTCGGGGGTGGTTAACCCCCCCCCCAACTTTTGACATATTCGGAAAATGGGTGGCCATTCGGAAAATTACGGCAATAATAGTATATGGTTTTTGTACGAAAATCATGAGATTCAGGCAATTTTTAGGTAATATCTGACTTTTGGTATGTCCGGAAAATTTTTTTGACCCTTAAAATGGTACACTGAGGGGGGGGAGGGGAGGTCGCAAAGAATTTTGGAATATTCGAAAATTTTCTTCGTCATTCGGAAATTTTTAGCCTACAACCCCCAACTATAAATGCTAGCTACGGCACTGCCAGATATGCGAAGGCCAGATAGCGCTATCCACTGGAATTTTTCGAAATCCTTAACTATGGAAATAGCATGGATATTTGTTGGAAATAATACGGAAATCCAATTTTCATACTAATTGCAATTTCCATACTATATATGGATATAGTATGGAAATAATATGGATTTACTGTACAATGGATTTGGTGATGCAATTAGTGCGAATTCCATAGTATATGGATTTCATTACAATAATTTGATTAGAATAATAAAACTAAAAAATAAAGTAATACCGAGAGAAGAACAGATCTGCTTTCCCTTAATGTTCCAAAGAAACCAATTGCAGAGACGATGATGATGAACAAACCAGAAGCAATAGTTATGTAAGATACTGAATGATAATCAAATTTATCACAAACTTCAAGGTACAGTAGACGATCTTCTCTATCTACACGGACGATGATCCCAGCCACAAGAACACCAATTCCACACAGCTTATAATAACAAAATATTTCGAATGAGTTTCACCAATGTTTCAAATGCACTGTACATGTACTTCAGCTGGCAAAATGGAGTTATATTTATAATTATAAAACCTACATATATATATATATATATATATATATATATAGCTTAATATTTTGGTTTACGAAACACAAACAGTGCTCAATACCATATAGATAGAGCGTAATATAGTTTTTCGTTTTACCTCAAAAAACCACAACAGTCTGTTTCATTCGTATAGGAATCATCAGATGGTCTGATGATTCCTATACGGATGAAACCACCTGATGATTCCTATAGGGATGAAACAGACTGTTGTGGTTTTTTGAGGTAAAACGAAAAAAAAAATATATATATATATATATATATATATATATATATATATATATATATATATATATATATATATATATATATATATATATATATATATATATTGTGGGCCAATGGATATTAATTATAGTAGCTATATTCTATTTAATTAAAACACGAGCAGGAGTGCTTTATCAGATAGAAAACCCCGAGGCGACAGCCCGGTGTTTGTTTATCACCTGATTCGATCAAAATCAATGGCTCCAAAAAACGACCCATCTTATGAGTTCATTGGACCAGTAATTTTAAAAATTAACGTTGTCTAAACCGAGAAAATCAAAGCTAAAGTTTATGTCTGATTTTTTATCACATATAAAACCACCGATACGGTATAGTGATGTCCTTTGAGTTTTCCTTCGCGAAGAAGGAAAGGTGGCTTGCTTAGAATCACAAACATGGAATTGCGTCGATGAAATGCAGTTCTTGATTTAGAGCAAATTTGTCGCTTCTCTCTACTAGAACCTTTAATTATTCTAATTAAGATAGAACCCTCTAGATGCGAATTCCCGGTGACTGAAAAACTACAAGCTTCCTCGCATACTCAGTGCGCGCCGAGGAGTGATCACAAGTGTGCGGCATATGCATTGAGCACATTTGACTTACATACTCGGGTTAAAATTGTTGGCTTACCTACGATCGAATAACCTTATTTGGGCCGCCAACTTAACATTTTTGGTTAAATTAATCAGATTATGTTTGGTTGGAGAATAGCCATGACCCCAAACATAGTCCAGTTAAGCCTGGTTTCCATATGGTCGTAACGGTCGTAAAGATTAAGTCACGATCTCTCTCATCAGCCGAAATACAACATTTTAGAACCGAAAATACAAGTGATTCTAACTAGAGAATACTCATGATTTATATGTGGTTTACACAGGGACGTGGCGAGCAATATTTGGTTTGATGTGAAATAAAAAAATGGGGTTTACACAGGGACGTACCGAGCAATATTTGGTTTGATGTGAACTAAAAAATACTTTTTCAGATCTTTTTCAACCTCAATATTCCTTCACGTTCCGCAATTCCAGCATTCCGGGCCCCTATCTGGGGAAGTTGGGCACCCTTTCTTGACTTTTCATTGGGGGTGTTACACCCCCCCCCTTCCAGTAGTTCCAGCCCTGGGTTTACAGGAATAACTGGCCGTTGAAAAATATCGCGACTCTATTTTTAAGACCATTACGACCATGCAGGCTTTAATTTAACCAGGAAAACTTCCTACATGCATGTATGGCCGGTTAAATTTACTAGATTATAGGGTAAAAAATCAGAAAAAGCTAAAATAGCCAGGAGTCAATTTAAGTTGTTATATTAGACGTTTTAACGTTTTTAGAGTGCAGGGAATTAATTACGCCTTAATTATCTGGGGTTGACTGGTACATTATTATTAGCCATTTTAACAGGGAAATTTCTATAACTGTTACAATAATTTCGTATCACATTTTTTCAAGTAGTGGTATAGCCTTCATTTCAAGTAGTGGTATAGCCTTCATTGCAGTTTTCTGTAACCGTCCGGCTACCTACACTGGCGCCAAGTCGTCAGCCGACAACCGTTCGAGCATTCATGTACTTGTAGTCGACGACTGGAAGACATTCACAAACAGAGGACACAGAATATTCATACGTGGAGTGTGAACGGAAATTCGAATAAAAATGATTTTGTACTTACACAAAATACAAGGTTGAATATGATCATAAGATAACGAAGACATTTATAAGCACTGGCCATCTTGGTTTCTGGAAAACAAAAATAAATATATTTTAATACTTTTACTACTCTTATTAGGCGATCTGTCGATGAGAACTGATCCAGCACGCTCGAAGAATAACAAAGGGACGGTGCAGAGTGGCGTTGTTTTCTCACCAGAATTTCAATTCTAATCTCTTAGCTTCTTATGACACGTTCGTATTGTTGTATGAACAAGTTTTTTAAAGTATTTACGTTATTTTAAAATTATTAAACCTGGTAGTACAGGCTGTATACAGCACTTGCATGAGGATTCGTGACAATCGAAACCATCAAAGAATAATATTTAATTTGTATGTTTACAGGCAGCCTAGGCAGAGTAAACAGAACAGTGCCTTCCACTTTCATACTTTATCGCGTGCATGTGGAATAAATTTTAAACTGTCACGTTCCAATAATATCAATGATGGGTTAACGCGGTTTTATGACAAAGCGGATATATCAACTATATAACTATGTTTTTGACGATTAAAACCGTCAAGGAATAATGTTTCATTATGTATGTATATAATATTTTTTATATATTGGAAACGCCTATAGCGCATAAAGTCATGTTTAATTTCGTCACGTATACGTGCATTCTATATACTCCAAATATAGGAAACGGAATGCTGCAGGACTTCCAATACCGCATCTCGCGTACACGTACAATACTGATTACTGGAATTAATTTTACTTTCCAAAAATTATACTGAGAAGGTGGAGTTCAAAGGACAGAGTAAATGGATTGTAGGATCGAACTCGCGGAATAAATTTCTTTCACTTTTCGATCTTATATTTAAATTGGTTTGCGAATTATACACTTTGGACAGTTTTTTTCCTAAAGAGGATGATGAGTCATCAGTTTGGTGCGGTATATATATGATCAAAAGTTTCCGTTACAAATCAATTCTGATCTATTATTGGAGATATCGCTGTTTTTGAAATAATAAATATATTAACTGTTTTAAAACTGAGATTTCTGTCCCAGCTTGTTGTCAACTCGCTACAAGGTTGTTGAACTCAACAGACTTGTTACAAGTTGTTCAAACAACTTATAGTCGTCCTGCAATTCAACACTTTCTCAACAAGTTGTGAGTGGCAACCTTGTAGCAACTTGAAAGCTTGTTACAACCCTGTTGCCACATCTTTTTGACACGTTGTGAGATTTTTACATGTGTCAGTGCCGAGTGAAAACCCAAGACTTTTGGAAGAGCGTTAACTGGTTCTTTTCGGCAACGAGAATCAAACGCACAATCTGAGAGACAAAGGTGAAAGGCCGACTTGCTTTCCTGATTACCGCGCTACCGAAGCCCCAATATATTCAACCAGAAAAGTAACTTAGCCCATCAAATTAAAGCATGTTGTGCCTTATTTAGCTTAGCAAGGTAACTATAGCTCACGAACCGAGTGGATTAATACCTTGAGTGATCTCGAGAGCATAAAGAACTGATGAACTTAGCCATCTTAGGTTATGATTTGAGTATTTGATACTGAAAAAAACTGTTATCGGTCCATTATAAGTAACATAATCTAGAAAAATGCCAGTCTGGTGAATCAGTCTGTATTTATTAGCGACAGTGTTAGTAAACAGAACCTGAAACTTGTGCATGCCTTATATACGATGTGGCTCATGAGCGGTTGATATATGCCCTGCGGAAATACACGTTGCCATTTATCAGTTCCCATGCACGTTCAATTTCTCTGCATGCATGCACAGATTCACGTTGTGCGTGTGAGATTAACGGACTCTTGCATACTTAGCATTCTTATCGACGACTATTGAAATTTAAAGTAATCACAGAATCTGATTTAGAAAACAATTTCTATTTTTGCGGCGAAAACCGGACCACATGATCATTACTGCCATAACTTTTGAGATGTGACTGCATGCATGTGATAGCCTAATTATATTTTAACAGTCAAGGGTAGTTTATTAATTCCAGTCCCTGAGCTTAATGATTTAGAAATAAGTATTTAATAAAAAGGGTTCTTTATTCTTAGTATTTCGACATTTCCTGGCAAACTATTTCCTACTTCTGAAAAGAAGTTTTAAGGATACAATATACAGCCTAGCAGTTTCACAATTACACAAGATTCATTTGACATCTCGCACAGGCGAACAGAAAATCAATTTGAAATTACTGGACTGTCAAAAAGAATAGTCTATAAGCTTGTAGGCCTATTCTTCTTCTATAGTTATCAATACTAAAATGAAAATCATGTTAGTAAAGCCAGTTCACACAGTGTCATGTGGTCATCATTAGAATAGTTAATTAATTAAGAATGAATAACCTATGACTATATATATATAATATATATATATATATATATATATATATATATATATATATATATATATATATATATATATATATATATATATATATATATATATATATATACAGATGCCCTAGACGGGAGGTGAAATCACTCCCAATGCCGTTCTATAGACACAACGTGAACTACTACGCAGTCACGTCCTCGACTATAGTCGTTCTGTTTGCTGAAGCTGCCTAAGTATGAAGTTTCTGTAACGGTGGCGTCATCGAAACAGTTGAACTTTAAAGTGTTTACAATTATATGCATAAAAATAAATTAAATTCAAAGAGATTTTTATTGCACACACGCAGGGCCCTTTATAAACATAAGCTGGTATAGCAAATCCCCCCTCAATCGTGCCCCCCGCCGCTTCAAGTAAACAATAATAAAATTAACAATTGACAACTGAAAAATTAAAATCGGTGTCCATGGAAATTGCTTCTGTTACAGAACCATCCGTATGGAGAGTGAGGAGAGAGTAGCTCACATGATTTCTTACACAGCCAAAGGGCGTCAGAACCCGTGTGGTAACTTCTCTGACACCTCTAGCTTGAGACTGAGGGAAATCAAAATCAAGTAAGCTTGTACCCTTTTGTTCTACACGAGATTTCGGTTGTCAATGAGCTCACCTTAGGACACCTACGATATCATTTGACAGTCGAGTCAACTATAAAAGTTGAATCGAGCGAGAATGGAACTCGGACCTTCGGTATACTAATTATAGGCTACTCCTGTGAGCTAAATTTTTAATCAAAACGACATCGAAAAGCCCAATGACACAGGTAGGATGGTTGTCGCTCAGTCCTTTAGTTGGGCCAACCCTCTTATAAGGGAAATTTGCAGTCCTACCAGACAAGATCTCACGGTTAGTCACTAGCGATATTTCCTCCTTATCTCGCCCGAAAACAACTTTAAATATTATATGGATTTCTTAACCAGCCAGTAGGACCAGTCTTCATACCATCAGGCCATTTATATAATCCAATCTTTGCACACGTTCTTTGCTGTGTTAGGCCATGGGTTGAAAGTCGGGGAAGAATATTTTTTCGAAAGAAGGGGGGCGCTTATACGAGAGGGCTTTGAATTCGGATTCAAAAACGAAAAAACGTGCCTCATGAAAAGAAAATATTTTGCGCACGAGCCCTGCGCAAAACGCTTAGTCCGAACCAGGCCGAAACGCAGTGAAGGACTTAAACGAGGACAGAAGGCAGACTATATAATTACTGCAGGCTACCTTGGCTCTTTAAATTATTGGCTCTGATAAGTGTATACCTTACACTGTCAGCTCACTTAAACAATCTAGGGCTTAAAATTTCTAGCGTACGCGTGTTTTCAATTTCTTAACGCCAACTCTAATAAAGATTGTGAGGTCATCTTTGGGATTCTTTTTTTTCCAATGTACTTCGAGCAAGAAAACGTCAAGTAAAACCCACATATATTTCGTAACATCGTACTACGAATCAGGGACAGAGTGAAAGAGAGCGTACTAAACAACGCGTTCTACATATTCATAATAATCTTAATATAGAGCTTACTGTGCTTACCTCAAATTAAGCCAACGATGATCTGATGGATGAATTCCGATTATTTTAATAGAATGTTGCGAACTAGTTCGTAGCGAGATTGCGTTCGCTTTGTTTTCCCACGAAATTGACAGAGCGCATAGAAAAGCCCAATATAGTTGATGTTACCCCCGTTTCCGTGTGCTAAATGCTGTTGCTACTTGATTAAACATGCCAAATATGTGGTTCTTACACTTATGTGAAGTGCTTCCTACGCCGGTATAAGTTAAAACCTAACGATTTCTTTTACTTTTCTTGCGAATTAAGGATAATTTCCTCTTAAACAAGGGAAACCGAAAGAAAACCATAATGGCAATAAAACAATATTGGTAGGAAAGCCTTGCTTGAAACGTAACGAATTCAATTCATATTCAATATTAAACGTGCTTTAAACATCCGTTTATGGCTTTTTAATTTCATGCACTGGAATACTGTAATACTGTATTAATAACTTTTTCAATGGCGTAACGCCTCTGAATGGAATCACTGGGAAATACGTTTGTCAACTAATTGGTCAGCTTAACTTATGCAAGCAGCGTCTTTGGCAACCTTTGTCACCCGACTTTACTTAAAATCTTATGTTATGTCATATGTACTATGTATGTGTTGAAGATTACTACAAACTGACACAAACATAGTTTTTAATCCTGTCCCCTAAGCCCCCTATCAATTTACGTTTTATCACAGAATCAGAGATAAAGAAAATAAAAAATTTTTAAGCTTTCAGAAAAGTCAGAAGCCAGTTATATGACGTCTGTTCAGTTTAAAATATCTGCCGAATAAGACCAAATTGCATGATGAACAAATTTGCAGTCATTGACATTGCCAATTGTCGTTGAACAGCAAAACTAAAATATCATAAGCTGATTGTATAGAAGAGTTATGATCTCTGAATAGAAATATATATGAAGTGCATAAGGTTTCACCAGTGAGCTCTATATATCTGGAGCAGGAACTTTATTCATTCAGTCTATGAGAAACGTGATGCCAAGATGGCAGAAATTGACGTCCAATAGCTACGAAGGTCGTAAACAGTTTTAATACCACTTTTCCCCAGCTAAATAATAATATTCTTTAAAACGTCAAAATACCAAATTTTGGCACACTCCTCGCCAGCTTCGTGTTAACCGCGCAGACAAAAACAATAGAAAGGGACTGGAACTGACGTTAATAGCTCATCAATTTTCGCCGCTTTTTAGACTCGAGTTCTCGCTCCAGATATATATGGAGCTCACTGGGTTTAATTACCGCCCGTATTCTAAAAGCTCACTCACACTCACATTCAATGAGTGGAGGTTCAATCTGAGCTTTTCTTGAGTGTCAATGTTATTTTTGAATAGCTGGAGGGTGAGTAGTCACATATTAAGGTACGACACTAACCCTTCAGCTATTCAAAAACAGCACTGACACTCGAGAGAAGCTCAGATTGAACCTCCACTCATTGAGTGTGAGTGAGCTTTTAGAATACGGGCGTACGTGTCGGAGTGCTATTTAATTCCATTTTGTCATCACTGAATGCATCATTGTAACGTAATATTTTTAAAGTGTGCCTAACCCCAAGTATGATTTTTGGTATGGGTAATACTTGGGTTATTCTAAGAAGAAATGTAATATATCTTTATAGTAAAAACCTCATCTTGGTCAACTTTTTCACTGTCAAAGTTTCCGGATATGATGTCATTAGGTGAATTTTTGGTACAAAAAACAAAGGAAAACTAATTTGCAAAATTTTCACCTAATGACATCATACCCGCAAACTTTGACAGTGAAAAAGTTGATCAAGATAAGATTTTTTATTATAAAGATATATTACATTTCTTCTTCGAATGACCCAAATATTACACATACAAAAAATCATATTTAGGGTTAGTCGCACTTTAATGAAATTCAATCAATACAAGACGGAAATTGTGCACGTCTATTATTCACGTACACGTACGGTTTATTCACGTATGTTTACAAATTTTGGATAGAAAACAAAATATCAATTCAGATGTTTCAACTTTAAAATGGTTCTGAACTCGTATTGAATCTCGAGGAAATCATTCTTTATATAAATATTCATTATAAACTTCAATTATAAATTACTGCAGTCTTTAATGGCTTCCGAAGTGATAATGGCGGCTCCACCACCAGGGGACGTTGCAAACAAACTATGATTAATCACTGCCAGTTTGGCTGGATCTTTACTGTAATATTCAAACTGTACTTTATGTAAGAAATCATGAAGTAGACTACTTGGTACCATGGAAACGGTACAACCACCCCAGCCTGCTCCGGTAAGGCGAGAACCAAGAGCTCCAGCAGATCTAGAAATAGTTTGAAAGGCATGAATAATTAATGAGTTTAAAAATCAACCAGAATCTGAAAACTAGTTGATACACGTCGCAAGCTTGAAGCTCGCTACGTTTGCTTGCATCTAATTTAAACAAACTGTCGAGCGTTGTGATTGAATGAAAGTACTTGCAGCGAGGTTGTTTTTACGATGAATTGAAAAGAGGCTTAACATGTTACGCAGGAAATTATCGCCCAAAAATCGAAACGAATGACGTGACCTTCACTCGGTCGACAGACATTATGACGTCATTATAAAATGTGTATCGGTATCGCCGGGGTAGATTGTTGCATAAATAATCGGAAATCGAAATTCATATCTACTGATTCAGAAAATATTTCACTATTTAAAATGTATAGAGAGTCACCTTAACAACGACACGCTATACAGCCTATACTACAATGACAATTCCTATACAACCAAAGAACAGAAACATACCTCCCACATGTAGGAAGAGTTCATGCCATGGATATTATTAAAATCAATTTTTTCTCCAGTGTAGGGCCCAAAACGTGTGTTTTCTTTTACTTTGTCCTTCGTAAACACTCCTTTTCCCGCGCAAGGAATTGGAGAGCGTTTTACACACAAAATAACGTTTTGAAAAATCTATGATATGGATCAAAACAAGACTAGAAACACGAGTTTGATATTTCGATTTTATTTTAAAATCATCATCAGACTAACTGGTTACTTCAAATAATTGATAATAATAAACTGGTTCTGATTTTGATAATAATAAACAGCGAGTTACGAATCAAATATAAGACGTGATTTGCTACTTTCGTTCACGAAAATATATCGAATCCTTCAAATTTATACACTATTATTATTTACACGTTCTGACTACATTCTTTGAATTTTTTTTGGTCTTGCGCAAAGGTTTTGTGCCTGTATAATGGTTTGATGAGGTAATATTGGGTATGTTTACCGTCTACATTTTCAAGCGCTGGAGACGACTGTTGGCAATATCCCCCGAGCCACCCCTGGCGAGGGTACTAATTCCATACGGGAATTTACACCCAGCTATATGCGATAACATAGATAAGTGCATAGCCTGTGTAGATGCGCTA